GCTCAGAGCACCACGCCACACAGCGATCCACACACGTAAACACTCATCTCATAAAAATTTTTACTGTTCCTCGTCTTTGTAGAAACCGTGCAGTTCCCCTGGACTTGCATCTGCCGCAGATATTCGAATTGTAGGTTGTTCGGATCGCTGAAGTCGCGCCAGTGTCGGGTTAGCTGCTAATAAAATTGCGCTCGACATCTTTAGTTAGCCAGTTCACAATAGCAACTGAGTATTGGCGCTTACCCGGCCGATACACCAAAAAGAATTCTGTCGCAATAGAATTTTTTCTTTAGAAGAGAAACAGGCCGGGGCGCCGATCAGCAGAGTTGCTCCTCGGATACTCCTTGACGTGACAGGGCGTACCTCTGTTCGAGCGCACAGACGAGATCTGACGATTTGAAAAGTGATGATCACAGTAATTTTTACAACGCACAGTCCTTTATAAAACACGGCACAAGGCCGTTTATGAAATATAAACACTACTGCTTATATACTGATAGCATTGATATATTTCCTCACATAACTAAGCAGGCACAAATTTACATTTTCTCGGATCTTATAAACAAAGCAATATATTTTCAATCAAATTAGGCGTCATAAAATTACAACACCTAAGATCCAATACACGAAATCATATATCTTTAAGTTAATTAGATGACATAGAATTAGAACTTCTTGCATCTTATAAACAGTATATCTTCAAGCAGGTTTACATTAGAATTTTCGGGCTTTCCCGACACCCCCCCCCCTCTCCCCATGTTGCTGGTTGCCTTTTTGATACCTCCTCCCCGCCTCCTCCAGTCTCTTTTTGCCTTGGCCTGGGTTTGGGGTGTTTTTGTAAGATATGGGAGGAGGGGTGTATAGAGCTCATGTAGGTTGTTAGGATTGTTATATTTTGTTTTGGTTTCGTACGGGTTTAATAACCCAAATTTGAGCTTACATATAAAGAGTTGAATTGTCACTGTGCGGACGCAATACAGCAGCCTCTGCTGCATGGAAGAAATTGGAATTTGGAGAATAAAGAAAAGTGACTGTTACTCCGCCCAGGCCTCGTCACAACAATTCGGCATATTTTCTAGTGGCCTCTGAAGGGTCCGCCTCATCGTTATTTTATTTATAAATTTAAAAATTCCGCATCTCCGGGAGTTCAACCAAATATTTATAAGGCCCTGAAGGAAGTCGCACTGGAGTACGAGAGGGCCAGGATGTTGGGACTGAAGGTCTCAAAATTTGAATATGTGCTTTGTTATGTGTGGGCAGTTTTCTTGACCTTTCTTTTGTTCACTGTACTATCTATAGATAAAGAGGGCAGTAATCGTAAATATTGTTTTTTTGTTATGAGCAATATTTGCTTCTTTAAGGGATTAGAACTCGTCGACCTGGAAATATCAAGATCTACGATCCTTAAGAAACTCTTTAGGGCGCTTTCTCGTCGCAAACCGCGTCACGCACCCCCTCAGCATTCATTCCTTCCAATCCCTAGGCAACGGAGTGATTGAAGCCCGCTCAATACATTTGTTGTTATTTAATATTTACTTGTGCGCGTATTTCTACGTGTTCGACGGATGTTATGAATTGTGTTGTTTGATGTATAAATGTTTAATAACCGAAATTTGAGGTGTGTAAATCTCGTGAGAAGGCGTATTGGCTATTCGACTACAAAAATCTGGACCACCGACAATCATTGCTGGAAAACCCGGACCAACTTTGGAGAGGAGCGAGTGGCACTCGAGAATCGACCAGAAGTTAAACATTTCATTCTTTTATGGTGGTCCTTCTTCATACAGGAAGAGTGTAAAAAAGTCGTCCTCACCCAGAAGATATCCCCGAACGTCTGCAGGTTCAGGGCGAAGTAGTCCAAAGAATGGCACACAACCACCGGAAAGTAGCAGCAAAATGGCTGCAAAGGGTGAAGACTGCAATCAGAAGGGAAGAAAATTGGGTGGAAGTAAAGCAATTCAGTCAAAAGGAGGCAATTCAAAACAAGGGTCGCAAAAAGATGGGTTGACCTGTTTTGTCTGTAAAGGAAAGAGCCACATGGAGAGAGTTTGTTCGACGGTAGCAGTTTACTCCCTGTCGAAAGCTAAATGAGAGGAAGCTTAGCGCCGCAAGGGGGAGAAATTGTCCCCGATTACACTCGGTTGCAGAAGTTGGCAAAAGATAATAAGCCAGATCCGGAAAATAAACTAGTGGGGAGAAGGTTAACAGCAGAAGCGATTTGTGAGGGTGTCCCAGTGCCAGCCTTGATTGATAGTGGGGCTATGGTGTCACTGATAACCCCGGAAGCGCTAAAGGAAATAAGTGCAGTATCAGGTCGCAAGATGACCAAAAGAATTTGGAAGAGGGATGATGCAGTAATAAGAGGTGTGTCGGGTCACCAGTTAGCACTTTTGCGCGCTACAAAAGTGGGGGGGGGGCGTTAGCAGGTCAGTAGCTGTGTTTGTGGATGACGAACAAAGAAACAGCGAGCCCCTGTTGTTAAGAATGAACGCACTTGAGCAGTGCAAGAAATGGAGGACTGAAATGATAAAGGCAACGGAAAAGAAAGATGGGGAAACCCAATGATAAAAAGCGCTCAACGTGAGCTGATTCCTACTAAAAGCGCAAAGCTTATCGATGGATATACGGAAAATGAGAAATTTTGTTCGGGAGCGGCACGGAGTGACGTGCAAGAAGGAATAATAAGTCTTCAAGACGGGGCTCGGACAACTGTTCTGGTGCGGACGAGCAAGGGCTGCTGATAGCCAGGGATGCGGTCCTGGGATCTGTTTCGAAGGTATAAGTGGAAATAGGAAGATTAGGGGCTCGGGGACCGAGCTCAAGCAAACGGTGGCATGTTGCAAAAGGAACGAGTAACAAAGAAGCGAAGTTGGAGGCTAAACCCCCTTCGCCTTGTCCAGTTGTCCTTCGGTTTCCTGTAGTATACAAATGTCCTGTCTCTTGGCTCGAGTTCCCTCCTCCGTAATACTTTAACGTGATGGTTGGAAATGAAATTGTTATTGAGATTGTTTTGTTCTCTGTAATCTGGAGGTGCGCGGCGGCAGCTTGGAGCTGCTGCCGCTTGAAACTGTTGCGTCTGTCCGGTGACAGCTTGGAGTTGTTGCCGGGCAGATCCGGGTTGATTGCTTACTTTGTTTTCTAATTATTCTTTGTGAGATTGTACTAATAAAGGGGTGTGTCTTGTTGCTTGATGTTGAGCGCATTCCCACAGATGCCGGGCCGCTTCCCCCGCGGCCAACCAGGCACTCCCCCTCCCGAACGTTACATTGCCGCTAGGCGTTACGGGGTCCGCCAGTTGACATTGACCTTTTTCTGTTCGCACGATCCACAGCATTATTTTGTATATTCGCCCTTTTGCTTATTTCTGAGGTTCGAATAAGTATCTGATATACGGATACTTCTGTCTCAGTCTTCCTGCCAGGTAAAAGCTGAGATATCTATCAACTAATAAAGAGAAGGAGAAATAAGCGATTGAGATAATTCAAGACATCTATAATACATTAGGATTGCTTCTAAGAACTCGAACAAATAAGACAGGAGAACTGTTAGAAACGCTGAATCACCCGATTGTTCTCTCTGAATTTTTGAGTTGGGGTTTAATTCTACAATTTTTATTGGTGCATTGGCCGGGAACGACTCGACAAGATGTTCTGATTAATCCTGCTCGGGGCAAAACCAGCATGATTATGTATAGAGAAGTTATTGTATGAAAGTCGAACATTTCAAATTGAACTCCCATCTCAGCAGTTCCAGCCCGATGAGCAGAAGTCAATTATATTTCAAAAAAAGGAAGAGTGATGAAAAATTGAAGTTAGATTCAACTTTGAAAACACTGGCTGAAACCAGTCAGTAGTGGTTGGATCTAATTAGGATGTTATCTGGTGAACAGCGTCAGAAGAAAGAAAATTTATATGAAGAAGCAGCAAATGAAAGCGAGATCATTTGGCTAATGGAAAAGGAAAAAGAGGAAGTTGAAAACTTGAAATTAATTAGAGAATACGTTGAACTGGCCTTGAAAAAACTGACCTGCTCTAATGCAGCGCATAATTCTTATGGTCACAGCAAGGTACTGGAGGCAATTCCTGAACAATCCATGTGGGTTAGACAAGTGAAGCTGCCGCGGCTGAAGCTTAAATCGTTTGGTGGGGATATTGAGTAATGGGGTGAATTCTTTTAGGTGTCACATGCCAGTATCGCTTAGGAAGCAGGAGGATAGAGATCGCATATAAGTTCTGAAAAATTTTTACGTTGACAAAGTGATCTTTGAAATAGAAATAACTGAAACAGTTATTGAAACAGTTGTTCAGTGAAGCAAAAAAGAGTGTTTGGGAATTCTTTGTGAGTGATTATTGAAATAAATGAATAATTCCTGAAAACGACTGTCAGCGGTCCGTTGAGGAGAGGTCTTCGGAATAAATTGGAATGTTGGCAACGACGCACTGGTATTCAACATCCAACCATGCAGAGAAGTGTCCAACGAAGAGACAAACTCTGCAATGCGTGGCCGGTATATACAGTCCATTGGAATTTATGGTTTCTGTTGTCCTTCCCCTAAAATTATACATGCAGGACTTGTGGAAGAGGAGTTATGCCTGGAGTGAACCAATTTCGGGCGAGTATGTTTCTAAGTGGTGCTATCTCATAAATTCTTGGAGACACATGAGGTGTGTGGTCCGAGCTACCTGTTAAAGAACAGAACACTCCAGATGCCTGCGTTTTTGGACACATTAACTAAAGCATATACCATTACACCATATTCAGGTAATGGCTCGATCGGAAAATGTAAAACTTTTCTGGTGTTTGCGAAATCAAAACTCTGCCCACTCAAGGGATTAACAGTTTCGCGTCTCGAACTGCTGGCAGTGCTTATTGGGTGCAAGCAATGAACTTCGCCGTTAAAAAAGCGGAGTTAGGAAGGGTATAAGCAGAATCAAAGAAGACTCCGCTGTTTCTGGGGCAAATTCCAGAGAAGAGGATCGTAGGCAGTCTATGGAACATCAGACTGTAATTTCTATGTGACAGCGTTCAAGACCAACTGCAACGACATATGTATACCGTAGGAAAACAAGTCTGTTCCATCCACAATAAAATTCAGTGAACGGTGTGTTGGTTCGCCACGATCGGTGCAACTTCAGCTGCTAAAATGCTGTTGAATGGAGATGATATTGTCGCACTGAATGCAGGAAAAGCACTGATTCTAAATCTCTTAGAGCCACCACGCCATCACACATTTATTATGAGCACTTTCGATATATTCAAAGCAAGGAGAATTCAGCAGATCACGTTAAAAAAGCTGGGAAACAGCCGTCTACGGCGGGAGGATCCTGAGTGAATTAATCATAATAAACAATTTTGGTCATCTTGGGGAGAAGCAGAAATCTTGAAGAAAAAGGGAGTGATCTGTCTTCTGTTGGCATTTACAATTTTCGAGATCCTCTTTCAGCTCCGGCTTAAGTGCCTGCAGAGATGAGAGTGTTCCGCCGTTTGGGTTTCATCCCTCTTTGTGTTTCTTCTCTTCTCCGGTAGCATTTTCTTAGCTGCCTGGAATTTGATTGTCGTTGATTGGGCGCAGTTGTTGTTTTCATACGCTCAGGAAGTTTACTGATAAGGCATTTATACTTCTCGTAGATATTCTCCGCCGTAGTCCAACTGGTATTGTCTTGTTTCTGCTTTATTTCATTGTCGGCTTCTTTGGGTCTGTCACGCTAACTTGCCGCATGTAGTACCACTTTTCATGAGCAGTGACCACAGCATGCGTTAATTGCTCCTTGTATTCAAGGGGGATATTACGGAAACATTCTTGAGAATTCGCTTTGTATCGGCCCAGATGTGGCCGATTTCATCTTTTTTTCCATTTGGTACTATAATTATAATTGTATGTAAACGTTCCCCAGTTTTCATGTAACGTCCCTTCTTTTTGTACAGTGAGTTACTACCGTACACCCTTCCCATATCCATCCTTTATTTCTCTCATCGTTCACATTTTTTTATTTCAGCTCCATTTCCCACCAAACAATCCTTTTTCGAGGGCTTCCTGTCTGGCGCCATCTCCTATTTACCGGAAGGACTCACATTTCTTCTCTTCCGGAGTGATACCAACTTTCCTTATTTAAACACCCCATTCTTTCACTCGGGGTCTTCGTCATAGGTCTTATACGGTTTGAGCTCATTATCATCAGTCTTCCTATAACGTCTTTTATCCTAAGTCCACTCTGAGGACATACCCTGCTCGTCCATTCAGCCTCATCCCCATACTCTGAATCCACGGCTGTCTTCTTTTGATGTCGCCGTACGTAATTCATAAAAGTTCGTTATTTTACTCCTCGCACTCACAACATATACACAAACGCACTTCGGTCCACCGCACTTTTATTGTGCAATCCAAGTCTATTTACGTCCCGCATCCTCGCAGCCAGTTATTGCCAATAAACAGTTTGTTCGTCTCTTCCATTGTAGCTAATCTATCACGTATTGTCTAGAAGCGAAAAATAGCAAGTGTGGTTTTAAGCTTTATTTAAAAAGAATTTAATCACTATTTTATTGTATTTCGTTGTTGTGTAAAGGCAAATTCCTCGCCTTGCTCCCCTACCCCCATCTCAAATCAAGAAACTCCACAAAAATAAAATAAAGAAAAGAATGTGTCATCTTTCGATGACATTCCACCGGGACGTCGGGAATCGACGTTCCCAGCGGAGATCGGATCTCCCATAGGAGTCCGATTCTCTCGTTCCCAGATCTACCTATCCTTCCGCCACTTTTCCCCCCGTAGATGAGATCTACGATGGTCACTCCTGTCTTTCATCCCCCTGTGGAACATTCTCAATCCCCGTTGTCGGAGAGTGTGACTCATGATAGTACTTGCAGGAAGAGCGGTATATAAACTCGAGGACCCCATGTTCGTGGTCCGCGTTCACCTGCTCACAACAGTGCCGCCTGACACGCTTCGTCTGTGCTCTACTTCGTCTCGTACGTGATCTACTTCGTTTCGCCTGTGGTCTACTTAACCCTACGCTCGTGTGCCTGTAACTGGTAGGTTGTGTAATAAAACTTGTCCTGCTTTAGTCTGGCCCGGCACCTTCCAGGGATAGTTCGATCTACTGACATACACGGCACCTGGATTCAATGACCACACTTTTTCTGTCGTAAAGATATAGATTCATTTTGTTGTTGTTTACGAAGCATTTTTTGTTGTATGGCTGACCTCGAAGGTCGGCATAGATAGGAGTCTTGTGATGTAGCTAACCTCTGTGGTCGGCTGTATCCAGCACATATCATCAATAATAGAGACACCAGATGGCGTTGCGGCAACGCTAGCAGTCCCTCGTCTTTTTTGTGTGTATTTCTGTTTTTGAAGAAAAGGAATCGCGTCTTTTGTGGAGGTGCTTTTTCGTGCTTAAAATTCAAGTTTCGGAAATGATGTAATTTTTATTGAGACAATTTTTCCGCTTTTGGTTGTGTGTGCCTGCATTTCGTGATTTCGGATTGTCATGGTTTAATAACCTCCCAAATTTAAGGTTTGAATATTGGTTGAATTGTCGAAGTGTGTGTTCTGTATTGAGTTCTGATAATTTCATTAAAACTCGTTTCTGATTAAAAAAGGAATTAAGAAGTGCCGTAGGTATGAGAAATCTGATAGAATCTCGGCTGTTTGTGACGGAGTATTTTTACAAAAAAAAAAAATTCTTACAAATTTCCTCGCGGTAAGTTTGCTGAAGTTCAAATTTTCACAACACCTCTATCGTTCCTCTTACCAATGCCGTATTTGCCAATGTACTTTTCCCATTTCTTCCCCCTCATTCAAGCTGCGCATTATAGTCCTTTATAACGGCTGCATGTGTGGAATTGACGACTAAAGTGGATTCGAGTGCAGCATAGAACTGTTTCCTCATCTTCTTTGCTAGCCATGGTGGGAGCGTTAACTTGAGACGAAGGAAAAGTATGCCAACTTGTGACGAGTGGAACACACACAAAATGGTTTCTGGAGTCCACTGCTTGCTGACGATAAATCTAATTCCATCAACATTCAGCAGTGCCGAGCAAAATCGTATTTTCATTTCTGCAGATTATGTAACACTCTGTTTTGCACACATCCGGGACGTCACATAATGGTCTATCGATTTCTTGGGAAAGATGAGTCGGGAGTTCATGCTTTGACAGCAACCTCTAATTCTGGGCGTATATCGACAAGTTCAGGTCATTCCTTGACGGAATTCTTACAGCACCTGAAGCCCTCGCTTTTCGGTTGTCGACTCGCGGTCATAAACCGACTCGAAGGGTGCGCAGGATACTGGGGCCCACTTTTATGCGTTTTCTGCTGTGCAACACCTGTGCAAAACATGTACTGTCACGGGCTTGTGTGTGTGTTCGCGGCAACTTGTCCGCAGCTTTCAACTCGGGAGCCACAAAAGCTAGGAAGCTGAAAATTTCGGAGGGATGTTTTTTTTTGAGGGACGCTGACGCGAACTGACAGTTCAAGCATTTTGCTTACTGCTGTTTCCGTGAAAGAACGAGATACCCAGAAGTGACCAAAATGATCGTTCTAGATTCAAAGCACTCGTTCACTGCCAGAGTTACTGATGATCCTTTCTTTGGAACGTTACCCAGAGAACAGTATAAAAGAATAGGATTGGCTGGTATTAATTTGCCAGGGAAACTAATCTAAAATAGATTCACTGGAAAATGGATTCTCTACAAACCTCTGTGTATCCTCAAGTATTGGTGACTCTGGTGTTTGAAACGCCACTTCCGTTCGTGCGGGGGATTGCTCTGCGATAAACTGCGGAGTATGGTTTCGTGCATCGTCCGCTTGGAGATTCGGTGACGCCCTGTAAGCACTTCTAGAATGCTGCCTTTTGTACAGTACAGCATTTATAAGATCAGATGAAGGAAGGGAGCAAGTGTTTGTGCATGCATCAATTAGACTTACTGCACCAATGCCGTCATAATCTCTTCTTAAGCAGCTTGACAAATGGCTAACGCTACAACAAAATGAAAAATACCCCATTTGTCATGCTTTTATATCATCCTTTCTGTATCACATCTGCGAATCACTAGTACCCGAAAATCTGACTAAAATACTGCAACAATACAACATCGTCATAGATTTATTTGGGAAGTACATATATATGTATACACTTCTCACATAAATTAACTCTGTGA